AGTTTGATTATGTGTAGAATCATATGAAGAAGGTGTGGCCAATGAACGACGTGGTGATGTGGAACGCGTTGATGCTCGAGATTCTGGTGATGAGTCTTCTTCTAAAATTGGAAATTATTAGCGAAAAATCAAATTTTTTGGATATTACCCACCACTATCGCTAATGTGTGTAGCATGAAGAGCGAATCGAGCAAGATTTTCTTCACGTCGTGATGCCATTGTCGCCTTATGGTTACGTCTAATAACACCGGATTGAGCGAATTCGCTTTCAGATGAACTTCTGAAAGTGGAAATTTACGCTAGTTTAAGAAAGGGCATGCTAATAGCCTATCAGCTACCTGTCATCATCGTCTACAGACATTGATGACATCACTTTCTCCTTCACCCATGATGGCTGTATTCTCGGCCTTGGCGATTTTGTTCTGAAATTGGAAAAGTTAATTTCAAAATAAAGAAGAACATATGTGACAACAATTTGAGACAAAACACATTCTGAGACTGAATCGGTATGAACGAGACCATCACACGATTTGGGATGACCTCACTTAGTGCGGTGGATGCATGCTTTTATACTTTAATCTACTATTTTAATCTTCTCACAGGTGCTCATATGGAAATCAAACCTTATTAAAATATCCGGTAAAGCAACTGGAGGCGGAGTTCGGCTAAACTTTTCAAATACATTAAATCTGGTGATGCTAAACCAGACTAACTAAATCTTACAAGCAGAAAGCTTACCTTTCATTAGGAGTTGGAGGTAAACACCTTCTGGCATGCGGGGACGAGGACGATGGTCCTGCAGTTGAGCTCCAAGAAGGTGTATGTTGTGGAGGAGGGATGATCGAGCCGTTCGCCTCAGGTCGTACAAAATCCGGCATCTCCTTGTAGAACCAAGCGCCAGACTTCTTCCACAACTGAAACTAATCTCAAATAATCGTTTGAATTTGATTTTTCACCCGTTCCCCAAATAGTTTTATTCATGCAAACAACCAAGGACATTTCTAGAACAACAGGAGTAACCAAAGTAATTAAAGCTAAAAAAAGGTATTTTTTTTAGAAGCACCTATTTCCGAAAGGACATGCTGGTTGACAGCCTTCATTTCAAATTCATTAACAGC